AGATCCGGACTTCCAGAATAATAGATGGAATATAAGTGTATGCTGAGCCAAAACATTCTTCTAAATTTTAAAAAGAGTGTGGAAAGGTTAGAACCTCTGTCAGGTTTCCATTGCTATTGAAGGCTCAGACAGGACATGAAGGAAATTCTCCAGCATCACATCATAGACAGGAATAAACATGTTTTTCTTTAGTTGAGGAAGAAAAGGCTAAAACCCCTGCCATACTTTTATTTCTGTGATAAAAAATTGCACAATGGACAGGAAATGACACCAAATCCCTGTAACAGAGCCACAGATAGTATATAAACCCCAACAGAAGTTTGAATCCTTCCCTACTCCATCTAAAAAAAAAAAAAAAGTTTTTGCCCTGACATTAATACAGCGATATTCATTGTGTGAATGGAGCACTCACTGAAATGAGATAACCAGTTGTCTTTAACTGTAGGGGTATAAAAATAAAGACAATATTTCCCCTAATTAACCACTTCCCATCCGCCCTATAGCAGAAGTACTGCTACAGGGTGGCACGAGTACCCTACCAGTGCTGCCATTCGCGGCCTCCCTCGGCTGTCAATCAACGGGTCCCGGCTGGTGATCACCAAGTATTACCAACGGGGGAGAGAACTGTATGTAAACAATACAGTTCTCTCCCCTGACAGCTTCTGCACACTGCTTTGTATGGCTCTGCATAGCACTGCCATACAAAGCAGTGTGCTTACAGTGAAACACAGACAAAGCACACATAGTAAAACAGCACACCGTTAACCCTTTGATTGGATCGCCCCAGATGTTAATCCCTTCCTGCCAGGTGCCATTAGTACAGTGTCAGTGCTTTTTATTAGCACTGATCACTGTATTGGTATCACTGGGGATGTCAGTGACACCAGGTCACTTCCCCCCAGTGTCAGAATGCCTGCCGCAGTCCCACTATGTCGCTGATCGCCGCCATTACTAGTAAGAAATAAAAATTCCAGCATATATACCGCCATTTGTAAAAACTATAACTTTCACGTAAATTATTTAATAATTAACACGTATTGGGATTTTTTTTAGCAAAGACTAGAAGAATACATTTTGCCCTAAATTTATGACGAAATTTGATTTTTTTACTGGACATGTTTAATAGCAAAAAGTCAAAAATATTGTTTTTTTCTCAAAATTGTCAATATTTTTTTGTTTATAGTGCAAAACATAAAAAATGTAGAGGTGATTAAATACCACTGAAGGAAAAAAAAGGACGTACATTTCATTTGGGTGCAGCGATGGATGACCACTCAATTGTCAGTTAAAGTAATACAGCGCTGGAACGCAAAAAATGGCCTGGTCAGGAGGGGGGGTAAATCCTCTGGAGGGCAAGTGGTTAACTAATAATGTTAGAAACGTTCAGGCTGTTGGACATAAATATAAATACTAGTGTTCAATAAAGTACATATGTTAAGCAGCATGCAAATGCATGGGAGGCAGCAAACAAAATCCTCTGAATATTACGTTAGGCGATTTTCAATCATGGCAGATTCACCACAATTCTGTCCTGTTTCCAAATTGCGGTGAAACACACAACACATGTCTGGGTGCCAAAATTCCTAATGGCATCCCAAACATGATGCAATCGTGGGAAAACATGCACTTAAAAATCAAGCTAAGTTTGTTGCCCTAAAAGGAACAGAGCGTCTTTTGGGTGTCAAACGTGCGTTGAGCAGCCCATTGAAATGAATGGGTTGCCCTACGCACAAAACATGAAACGCATGTAAACTTCACTTTTGAAATTCGCAAGTGGGAATGCTTTTTCCTGCAATACAATATCTGAACAGGGCTTCATTATGTGAATGGAGCACTCACTGAAATGAAATAACCAGTTGTCTCTAACTGTAAGGTATAAAAAAAATAAAGACAATATTTCCCCTAATTAACTAATAATGTTAACCAGTGGTCTCCAAACTGTGGCCCTTTGCTTGCTTTCATCCAGCCCTTGGGGCACTATTTCATCCACTAACACTACCGAAGGGATACAATTCCTACCAATGATACCAATGATGGGGCACAGTTCATCCCAATGATACCAACAATGGGCCCAATGACACCAATGTAGGGCACAATTCCTCCCAGTAACACTATCAATGGGGAACAGTTTCTCTCACTGACACCACCGGAGCTCCATCGCGATCCAGCGATGTGAATGACAGCCTCTGCCTCTTCATTGGCTGAGACAGCAATGGGCATTGTTTACTCCCACTGATGCCAGGACATTTTTTACTCCCGATGGCCATTGTCCTGCCCCGCTAAAGAGTGAAGGACAGTAAATTGGCCCTTTGTTTATAAAGTTTGGAGACCCCTGTTATAAACGTTCCGGCTATCAGACATAAATATAAATACTAGCGGTGTTAAATAAAGTACATATGTTAAGCACCATGCACATGCATAGCAGGCAGAAAACAAAATCCTCCAAATATTACATTAGGCGATTTTCAATCACGGCAGAATTGCCACAATTCTGCCCTGTTTCCAAATTGCGGTGAAACACACAACACGTGTCTGGGTGATATTATTCCTAATGGCATCTCAAACATGATGCAATTGTGAGAAAATGCGCACCAAAAAATCATGCTAAGTTTCTTGCCCAAAAAGGAGCAGAGCTTCTTTCGGGCGTCAAAGGTGCATGGAGCAGCCCATTGAAATGAACGGGTTGCACTATGCACAAAACACATGAAAATCGCAAGTGGGAATGCTTGTTCCTGCAATACCATATCTGAACAGGGCTTAAAAGGATTTTATTATTATTATTATTATTATTATTATTATACAGGATTTATATAGCGCCAACAGTTTGCTCAGCGCTTTACAATATAACGGGAGACAATACAGTTCAATACAAGAGGGATAGGAGGGCCCTTCTCCTTGGAGCTTACAATCTAGGAGGGAGGGGCTAATGGTACAAAAGGTAGTAATTGTGGGGGATGGACTGGTAGGAGGAGTAGAAGATTCCATTATTAGCTGAGGGCAGGATAGGCTTCCCTGAAGAGATAGGTTTTCAGAGTTATGCGTAGATATACAGTATGTAGATAATGTATTTGTTAAATCTCATTTATATATATATCCTTGGGTTCTGGACCTCCAAAGTATATAACCAGTGCACCACAAACATCTTATATCTGAGTCATTGAGTACACATTGGGGGGAGATTTACTAAAAGTGGAGCACTCAGAAAATGGGGCAGCTGTGCATGGTAGCCAATCAGCTTCTAACTTCAGCTTGTTCAGTTAAGCCTGGATAATAAAGCCTGGAACCTGACTGGTGTCTATGCAGAGCTGCAATGGATTTTACACACTTTAGTGTTAGTAAATCTCCCCCATTGATAACTTAGAAACTGATACCTGGCAAGTAGGAACCTGGAAAATCAATTACTTCATATGACACTAGGGGGCAGCAACTCAGCAGATTTCTCAGGCTATGTGGTGATGTGCATTCTGGTGATCTGTGGTAAAAGATGCTGAAATGGTTAAAAGATGATAGCTGCGATTAACCATACATAACATGGAGGCGGATTCTCTAGCAGGCCCAGGAACAAAATAATAATGTAACAGTTTGTAAAGCATGTGACTTGGCACTGCATGGACACTAAGGGGTTTATTTACTAAAGCTGGAGAGTCCAAAATCGACTCCCTTCTGCATAGAAACCAATCAGCTTCTAACCTCAGCTTGTTCAATGAAGCTTTGGCAATGAAACCTGGAAGCTGATTGGTTTCTATGCAGAAGGGAGTCTGATTTTGCACTCTCCAGCTTAGTAAATAAACCCCTAAGGGTTCATGTGCACTGCAGATGATCAACTCACATTTAGGAGCTGTTCAGCGTTTTTTTTTTTCAACAGCCCCTGAACTCACATTAATGTTTTCCTATATGTCCATGTACACATCTTTGTTTACAGTCGTTTACAGGCATTTGAATTTACAGTCATTTTTGTGAACGCAGAAAACTTGCGTTCAGCAGTCAATTTTATCAGCGTTTCGAAGCAAAACGCTTGTAAATGCAGCTAAAAGCGGCTAAGCGCGGCAAATCGAGTTTATAAGCGTTTGCGTCTGAAATTTCTTTTTAACTCTTCCAGTTCCCGATGCCGTCCAGAGCCTTTTTCATCATGAAATATGCATGCAAGCATTTTCAAGGTACTCAGATGGACAAAACACTGAACACAGGATGTTCCTACCAAGCTCGTCACACATTGTAATGACCAATTCACACCTCAGACCTCTTCCCCCCTTGGAAACAAAAGATATGTTAATGACATTCAGGCCTCAAATTCCTCATGTAGACCCCTGCCAGGTGGCCTTAATGACTCCCTCCACCAGACACCTTTCCCAGCCTTGGAAACAAAAGAAATGTTAATGAGCAACTCACACCTAAGTTAATCTCAACACATACTGCTGTCTCTGCTTCTACTCTGTGTATTTCTCTCAAACAGTCTGAAATAGTTAATGATTTACCACTTTTCAGTGCATTCTGGGCATTTGGGAGGCTCTCCTGTGCTTATGTTTAAAAAAACGCTTCTAAACGCAAACGCACATAAATGTGTTAGGCAAACCTACGTTAGCATTTTTTTGAGACAGATAAAACTTTATTTTGGTGGTATTTATTCACCACTGGGATTTTTATTTTGCTATATAAATGAAAAAGTCCAAACATTTAAAAAAAAGGGTGTTTTTCTTATAAAACTTTGCAAATAAATAATCTTTCTTCCTAAATCTTAGCCAACATGTATTAATCTATCTTTTTAGTAAAAATAAATAAATAACCCAATTTAGCTTCTATCCAAAAATAAATTTTTTTTTTTTTTTATGTTATCATTTTCAGGTTTTTTTTTACATAGTGTCACCATAGTGAATTTTTTTTTTATTTTATTTTACACTGATTGCTTTTACACCCATATAGGCTGTAAAAGCAATCATTTCTCCTTCTCTCTGGCTGCATTCTTGCAGCCAGAGAAATAATGCGCAAGCTGTGATTAGTCACAGCTTGTCACATGGTACAAGGCTGTTGTGAATAGCCTTGTACCATGTGATCTCTGTGATCATACACAGATTTCACATGTAGTAAGCAATGATATCAGAAGTGACATCTTGGTTACTACTATTCATGTGATCACTGATTGGCCAATCAGTGATCAAATGATCGGGACCTCACACAGAGGTCTCGTACAGTGATCGATGTTCCACTGTGTCCTCTGGACACAGCGGGCACCGGATCGCAGTGCCGCGCGCTGCCAGGGACAGCGCACAGGTAGGGAAGAGGGAGGACGTTTATAAATGGCCACCTGCCCCTGCACTGCTCCCGTCCGGCCGTTTATGTACAAGGGCCAGACGGGAAGTGGTTAAAAATCATAGCAGACTGTAGTTCTGGATGAGGGTCTAGTATGGATATTGGAGGAGAACACCTGTTTGGGACAGAGTGACCATTTTATATACATGGATGAGGGTCTGTTATGATATTAAACGGGAACCCTACACAGCTTTTAGTTGCTGCCATGGAGTGCCGTTTTTTATAATCATAGTACACTGTAATTTTGGTATGGATATTAAAGAACATCGCACTTTAGTTTTGTGGTGGAGTTACTCCTTATAATCATAGCAGACATTAATCCCGGATCAGAGTCTGGCATGGATATAATAGGGGAACACCACACTTTAGTTTTGTTGTGCAATTACCCTTTATATTCCTGGATAAGGGTCTGTTATTATATTAAAGGGAAAACCTACACAGCATTTATTTTATTGCCACAGAGTTCCGGTTTATAATTATATCAGATGATTGTCTGGTATGGATATTAAATGTTAGAGAAGCCCGCACTTAATATTATTTTTTTTTTATCTTCTGCAGGCTAACCCCTTTATATTCATACCAGACCATAATTCTGAATGAGTCTGTTTTATTTTTAGTGCAGAGTTCCCCTTTATATTCATATCAGACACTACAAGACTGTCTCAAGAGCTGGTTCTGGCCAGCTCAGTAGATTGTTTTTAAAAAGGCCTTGATTCTTTCCTAGATACACATATTACAGTATAACTGGATACTAATATTTATATGTAAAGTTGATCCAGGGAACATCCGATTGCCTCTCGGGGATCAGGAAGGAATTTTTTATCCTGCTGGAGCAAATTGGATCATGCTTTATTGGGGTTTCCTGGTCTTTCTCTGGATCAACTGTGGGTAAAGGATTGCATATATATATACATACAGTCAGGTCCATAAATATTGGGACATCGACACAATTCTAACATTTTTGGCTCTATACACCACCACAATGGATTTGAAATGAAACAAACAAGATGTTTTTTAACTGCAGACTGTCATCTTTAATTTGAGGGTATTTACATCCAAATCAGGTGAACGGTGTAGGAATTACAACAGTTTGCATATGTGCCTCCCACTTGTTAAGGGACCAAAAGTAATGGGACAATTGGCTTCTCAGCTGTTCCATGGCCAGGTGTGTGTTATTCCCTCATTATCCCAATTACAATGAGCAGATAAAAGGTCCAGAGTTCATTTCAAGTGTGCTATTTGCATTTGGAATCTGTTGCTGTCAACTCTCAAGATGAGATCCAAAGAGCTGTCACTATCAGTGAAGCAAGCCATCATTAGGCTGAAAAAACAAACCCATCAGAGAGATAGCAAAAACATTAGGCGTGGCCAAAACAACTGTTTGGAACATTCTTAAAAAGAAGGAACGCACCGGTGAGCTCAGCAACACCAAAAGACCCGGGAGACCACGGAAAACAACTGTGGTGGATGACCGAAGAATTCTTTCCCTGGTGAAGAAAAAACACCCTTCACAGCAGTTGGCCAGATCAAGAACACTCTCCAGGAGGTAGGTGTATGTGTGTCACAGTCAACAATCAAGAGAAGACTTCACCAGAGTGAATACAGAGGGTTCACCACAAGATGTAAACCATTGGTGAGCCTCAAAAACAGGAAGGCCAGATTAGAGTTTGCTAAACTCGTCTTCAAGCAGACGAACAATGTCACTATGTAAAGGGTAGCCCCATGCTTTAGTTATGCAGTGGAGTTACCCTTTATATTCATGAGACCCTATTTCTGGATGAGGGTCTGTTATGATATTAAAGGAGAACCCTACCCAGCTTTTAATTTTTGCCATGGAGTTTCCGTTAATAATCATAGCACACCATAATTCTAGATGAGGGTCTTGTGTGGATATTGGGAGAGAACACTACACTTTTTGCGATGGAGTTATCCTTTATAACCATTGCATACCATAATTCTGGGTGAGGGTCTGATATAAACATTAAGGGGGAACCCCATATTATCATTACAGACTAGGCTGCATTCACACTTAGCGATTTGGAATTGCGGACAGTATTGGCATGATGCTGCTCATGTTTCCAAATCCCACTGCAAAACGCGCAAAAGGTGTTTCAGTGCCATTCATTCTTAATGGCACCTCAAACGCAATACGATTTTGCTGTTGTAGCACAACAAAAACATGCAGCAATTGTGGAAAGACTTGTGCAAAGCTGGTAGCCCAAACTGGTGTGGGAGCTTCTTTAGCACGACAAATGTGCATAGGGCAGCCTATTCAAGTGTAAGGGATGCCCTATGTACAAAATGTGGAAATGTGTGTGAATAGTGCTAAAAAAAAAAAAAGCGTGGGGGAATGTGCGTTCCCATTATGCCTTAGATGTAAGGGTTCACTACCATGCTACAATCATTGCAGTCTTAGGGCTCACTTATGCTAATGGTTGGCGGCAGTAAAACCCTGCAGTTGAATCGCAGGTTTACCACCCCCAACAACTCCCCCTTCAGCTGCAGGGGGTATACACATGCTGCAGCTGTGATACTTAGTTTCATAACTGTGGCAGGAAATATACCTCCTGCTGTGCATGGTAGGCACTACCACCCACTGAACACAACCCGTTCTAGCGAATGGAGCCATACTGCAACCGCACCACAACTGTGCACAATTGCACCGCAGTAGTCTGACATTTAGGGGTTAAAGCATGTGGCGAGGAGGTGATAGAATGCCTCCTCACAACCTGTCAAATGCTATCTGAAGAACGATCCAAATGCAGATTGCTGTCCAGTTAGCATAGCAGGTGTCACACCCTATCACATCTTAGCGTTTCTAAATGCAAGATAAAGCACATAAAAAATGCGTGTTACATATAAGGTGCCATTAACTGTTAACGGCAACCCAAGTGTGGGTAGCAGGTGTGTGGAAAATGCACTACAAATGCTCCAAAATGCGCAGTAAAAAAATCCACCATGATCCACTCCAATTACAGTTTTGGAACTTCTATGGGGTGTTTGTCACACATACAGCAACCCATTCAAGTGAATGCGTGACAAGCAGAAAGCCTCCAAAACCTGCAAAAGAAAACGCGTGCAGGAACGCAAGTTCTCACTACACTCAGATGTGAACGAGGCCTCAATGAGCCAAACAGAAATCATTCCTCATGTGTCATACAAAAAATATTGGCACACTGCAAGAGCTCTAGGAGGTTATTATGAAGGGGATCACAGCAGGGTTCTGTGGGGGTGGGACCTTAGGAGCGGGACTGTCCTGTTCCTGTTCACACTGCACAGCATAGTATTTAACTGGGCAGAATCGAATGCTAATTGGGATCCATGCAAGCATCAGCTCTGTGAACATCATTATGGAGTTGGAAGGACTACAAAGGGGAACGTACCGACCAGGGGCGGACTGACGATTTGGAAACGCGGGCACTGACCGAGGGCCCGGGGTCAGTAGGGGGCCCCATGAGATGCCCTCGGTACCTTTTTCATAGGCTTTTTTTAAGTTTGGGCAAGGACAGGGGCCCCATGATCCCCTATTGCCCGGGGCCCCATGAGTTGTCAGTCCACCCCTGGTACCAACTCTGGCTACTGCAGGAAGTGGCTGTGCAGGGAGCACCATCACTCAGTCACATGTACAGTGAGTCACATGATACAAAGCAAAAACCAAACCCAGGATATAGGGGGATCTGCAGGTGAGCGAGCAACATGGTACAAAGCTTTAATCTAGCCTGCCATTTATAACTCCATTCATTTCTAGTGAAGTTGGAATTCAGCTTTAAAATAGTAGAAAAATGAAGGCTGGAAAATAAAAAAGGCAGTGTTGGACTCAGACCCACAACCACACATAGAGAAGAGCTGGGACAATCAATACAGACAAGGCTCTGGTGAGCACATTCCATACACTGATCAAGACATGTGAAATGAGCTTCTTAACCATCACCCTACAGACTGAAGTTGACAAAGGTGAGTCTTGAACCTAAAACCAAAATGGGACGTTCCGCTTTAAGTTCTGGTCCCCCGCTCCCTGTGAGGAATGGGCACCTTTGGGGAGCAGGTCTTTGATTTTTGACAGGTACCCTCTCCCACTTCCACTGCAATTGCTTAGGCGATTGGAAGTGGAAGTTGTCCTCCTCCCCCTCCCTCCCTGGAGTTTTCTGGGATATGTGACAGGCCCCAGAAGACTATGCCACCATTCATAAGGCGCAGCGCTATTCACACATGTGCAGTGGGCACCCGGCTGTGCAGCCACAAGCTGTCATAGCCAAATGCCCACACTTAAGATGCTGGCGCCAGGTAGCGAGGACGGCCAGTGAAACTGGCTGTGGTGAGGACATTACTGGATCCTGGGACAGGTGAGTGTCTGTTTTTTAAAAGTCAGCAGCTACAGTTTTTGTAACTGCTGACTTTTATTTTTTGTAGCTTTGGCTGGAGCTCCGCTTTAAAAAACTATCCTACAGCCACTGTCAAGGATGGAAGGTATAAAACTGCAATTATTTTGACAGTTGGTCATTTACAGTTGCCATTCTTTTTAATGCATGGCAGTTTTATACCTTCTGTCCTCAGAAGTGGCAGTTAGTACGCACCTTATCCTGTTTGCATGAGGTACTGTAGCTCTAAGTTCTGGAACCCCAAGGTACAGCATGAGCAAAATGGTTCGCCCATATGACAGGAAGGTGGGATCTATGAAGGCTCATTTATACCATGCACAGTTACCTGCATACAACACCAGGCACTCCAAGGGCACATAGAAAACAATTGTTTTCCACATGCCCCTTTCACACCACAACACTGATTGGATTTTTCTGCACTGGATGGTACTGCAGGTCACTGCACCTCAACACAACCCACTATGCTGCTGTGTGGAAAACTAAATGGAGTGTACACTTTGTA